GATTAAAATGAGAAGTTCAAGTAGTTTTTGAGAATATAACTTGTTTTTATAAAGTTTAAAGAACAGCATCAAATTTCACGTGATTTACAACATCAAATTGGCAAGCAGGCGCATTTCAACTCTCCTGTATCCGCTTGAGACGCTCTTGTAAACAGCCCAAAAACAGCATAGACTTTTCTTTCGATTTGAGTCATATGAACTCGGTGAAGAAAATCAAAACATTTATCTACTCGATTTGGCTTTCAACTTTCTGCAAAAAAATGGAAGTTCAATGAGATGCCTGGATTCTAATTCACAATTGAAAAAACGTTTTCAAGTTCAATTGAGAGATTTTAATTATTCAAGTTTGGGTTTGAAAAAAATCTTGAAGATGCAGATATAAAACTTAAATTCAAATCTGAGAGCTCGAGGCAGACACGTTATGCCACAAAGATGTGTCATTGCAGCCAAAAAAAATCATAAATTGAATCACAGCAATTCCATACCAAGAGCCAGCTTCAAACAAATTAGAGGAAAACAGAACACACAGCTCATACAAGGAACAGTGAAAGCGAAAATTAGAAAAAAAGCAAAGCGAAAATTAGAAGAAAAAAAAGCAGAATCTATAGACTGCGAAAAGGAAGCTGTAAATTGGCTCAATATTTAACGCTTCAGTGAGTAATCGTTACACATGAAAAAATCAAAATTTAATAACCAGTGAACAAGTATAAAGGGGCTTTAGCATCCAAAACAAAAACTGAAGCCCAAAATCAGGAGTAGTATTAATGAGACACATAGCTAAAAAAAGGAGTACAAAATCAAAAAACATCTCTTAGCATCAAAAGAAATGCTCAAAAAGCCAGGATTTGAGCTTCAAATGATATAAAAAAGTGAAAAAAATTATCCCAGAGCATGATTTAGCTCAAGCATGCATGTTTAAATAAAAACAATGCGATTTGGCACAAAACCGATGCTGGGTGCAAACTCGCAGCGCAGTAGTAGCGCTTAAACATATTTGCTCAGCATAGCTCTATAAATATCGACTATGTAGAGATAGCGTATTAATTCTTTATTACGTAACCTTGGCTTAAATACAGCTGGGAAAGGTCTCGCCCAGTTAATTTTTATGGTCATTCTCAGAAATGTACAATCTAGACTGTACTCTCGTCACGTTCATGTTCACGAAAGTGGCCGCTATTCATCCCGCAAAGTTCTACCTTACAGTTTCTGGCATCATACAACCAAACTGACAAATATATTACCCACCTGGGTAAACTTCTACAACAACAATGGGTTACAGAGCAGACTTTTGAAACTTTTTTTGAGCTTCATTCGAAGCTCGTTTCATCATACTGGTAACAGGTACCTGGCTTTTAGCCTGCTTCTGTTCAAACTGTCGAGAAACTAATCCTCGGCTCAACTTTCTAAACATAGCAAACAGACAATTGGGAAGTCAAATGATCGCAAACAAACAGGAAAAAAATTCAAATTCTCAAATAAGTTTCAAATTCGCAAAAAATGGCCCTAAGGCCCAGTTATTTTCTAAAAAAAAGGTTGATTGACACTTCTTTTATAAAGTTAACTCCATTCGAGAAGACTGCATCTTTAGGTAACATTTCGCTGGAAAAGTTGATAATTAAATTCCATTTTAAAAATTAGAGGTCAATCACATTTCCGTGATCTTTACAAAATCGCTTTTTACTAGTGGAATTTACCTTCCTTTTAAAAATTGAAAAGAACAGAATTTACAAAGAAATCAATCTAAAAAGGTTTATTTGCGCCTGAAACAACAGGTTTTTCCTAAAACCTAAGAGAAAAAAATCAATACGACCAATAAAAGAGTCTGAACTACGTTCATCGAATCTTAAACATAGACTAGGGAACATTTGCCATTAATTGAATTCAACATAATAAACATAGCCAACAGACAGTAGGAAAAGAGTCAATGAACGCAAACAGAAAAACAAATACTGACAGTAGGAAAAGAGTCAATGAACGCAAACAGAAAAAATACTGACTTGTTTTTTAGAAAAAAATATAAGTTTTCGAAGTCCATAGAAAAATAGATTGCTTCAAGCACCATGAAATTCTAGAAAAAAATGAGCTAACATTAAAAAAATTAACCAAATTTGAGAAAACTGGATCAATCGGTGAAATTTTTATTTTGCTGGTAATTCAACTATGCAATTCCACTTCCGAAACTAGAAATCGATCACGTTTTTCACGACCTTTACACTTTCGGTGATCGATAGTGGAGTTTGCCTTAATTTCATTAAAGGAAAAGCACTGAACTTAAGGAATCAAAAGTCAAACCACGAAAAAATTCGCTGAGAAAAAACCACCTTATTAGAAGGCTAATCTACATTCGTCCATTCTTAATAATGAAATTAATAATATTCGACAGACGAAGCGGAGCTTCGCAGCAATTATTTCCCTTTCGAATAAAAAAAAGATCTGGCCTAGTTCAAACACAGGACCTTTTTCACCTCAGGCGTAGTACTTTTCTCAAAAACCATATGTGCCTAGAGAGCTAATAAAATTTGATTTTGATGCAAGCCAAGCTTTTCTGTAAATATTTTGTGAAACAAGAAAATTCCGTGATGCGGCAACTAAGCCAACAAAACATAATCAGACTAACGATAGTCCGAAATTTTTTTGGCACGGAATTTGTCTGCAAAAACAAGACATTACTTCTTAAAAGCACTGTCAAAGTACTAACAATAGACCGGTAGAACTTAAATTTGCACGTGAATGAAGTCTAGTGATTCAAGTGATTTTGTTAATTAGGTTTTTAACCCGAAAAAACGTCTATATTCCAGTTTAAAAACGCTTGCTTATCGCAAGCGTAATTACCCAGCTATGTAAACTTCTACAACGACACTGGGTTAAAGAGCAGAATTTAGAAACTTTTTTCAGCTTCATTCAAAGCTCTTTTCAACATACTGGAGCCGAGTACCTGGCTTTTATCCTGCTTTTGTTCAAAATGTAGAGAAACTAAACTAACCCTCGTCTCAACCTTCTAAACATAGCTTACAGACAGTTGGGAAAACTCTGCCTTGATTTTTTTTGAAAAACCTCATGTTTCGAACTCGCAAGAAAAAATTGATTGCCCTAAAGCTCGTTGATTTTCTAGAAAAATTGGCGATTGAAACTTTTTGATGACTAATTCGAGAAGGTGGATAAAAAGGTAAATTTTAATTCATTTTCAAAATTAGTGTTCTATCACATTTCTCGTGATCTTTACATTTTCCCTGTTCGGTAGTGTAGTTTACCTTCAATTTAAAAATTGAGAGGAACAGAATTTATAAAGAAAACAGTCCAAAAAAAGTTAATTCCTAGAACAAAATTTCAAGGTTTTCTTAAAAATAAACGAAAAAAAAATCAACACAGCCTATATAGGAGTCTCACCAACGTTTATCGACTCTTCAAATATAGACTAGGGTGCATTTGCCATTAATTTATTTCAACATAATACACATACCCAACAGACAGCACCAAAAGTATCAATGAATGCAAACAGAGAAATAAATGCCGACTTATTTAAATTATCAATTTTCAAATTTCATAGAAAAAAAATTCTTTCAAGCAACTTCAAACTTTAGAACAAAATAACATTTTTTTTGAAAAAATTAAACCAAATTGAAAAAAAAACTCATAGGTAAAATTTTTAATTTACTGGGGAATTTTGATTATTCAATTCCACTTTCGAAGCTAGAAATTGATTACGTTTTTCGCGACATTTACATTTTCGCTGATCGATTTGGAGTTTACCTTCCTTTCAACAAAGGAAAAGCACTGAACTTAAGTAATCAAAAGTCAGACCGCGAAAAATTTAGCTGAGAAAAAAATCGTCGCAAACTTATTGACAGACTGAACTAGATACATCCACTCTTAACAAAGAAGTTAATAAAATTCCACAGAGACGAAGCGGAGCTTTGCAATAATTGCGATAAAAACAAAACATTGAATTACAAGTCAATTTTTAGAAAACATCAGCTGAAAGAAAATTACTTAAGAAACGAAAAAACTATATCTACAAAAAATCTATACCTTTGTCTCATATAAGACTCATAAACAGAGAATCAAGCGAGAACACGCGAGAAAAGCGATAAGCATTCAGCTACGACTAGGATTATGAGTCTCATAACCACTCAGCCACGGACGCTTATTAAATGACATTAAGTAGCCACAAATAAAGCAGAAAACAAGTATTATGAGTCTCATAATCACTCAGCCACGGACGCTTAATAAATGATAACAATTAGCCACAAATAAAGCAGAAAACAGATGCTATACAATTTCCAATGCTACAGTGAAATTTCCATATAAGTGAACATTTTTTATTTGCGAGTTAATGTATTAGTACGAACCTTCTTTTTTTTCAAATCTAACGCTCGCAAGCTGGCTAGTAAAATAAAGCAAGTTGAATGTATAAAAAAAGTTGTTCACGGGAAAAAGTCTAGTTCCCGATAACAAGACACTTGCTTTCGCAAGAGTAATTACTAAAAAAATACACTCAGCAAATACGCAGACTAAAATTAGAACGAAATCAATTAAAGCTACAATGAAAAATTTATCTGCAAATTAGTTTTTTAGCTATAGACTCAGTAACTCATTAACTCAAGATCAGAACTAGAGCTGCTAAAAATGCAATTAGGATGAAACTGGAGGTCTTCTAAAATTGGAGATCCTGTGAACTAAGTTTTTCGTAGGGAAAAAATCTAGTAACCGTTTGCAATACCCCTGCTTATCGCTAAAGTAATAATAAACAATAGGTTGCCTGAAAAGCTGTGACGATCAACTCCCTGCGGAACGCGAAACAGCAAGTGGGCCGAACTCGGGCGCTCATCGGAAAAGTGGCGGAATACGCTGACCACTAACAATTAGCGACTGGTCAATTAAAAGTATAATGAGCTCGCTCGCTCGTCAGTACAGATGGCGAAAACGCCACCCACCAATTGCATCATTTATACTTAAACTAATAATTATCTTTTAATCAAAATTTGAAACAACAATCTCACTTTTGCAACACCTTCATAAGTAACATCGTCTTCAGTGGGGCCTATTCCTCCTGATGTCACGACGTAGTCAAAAATCATTGAGAACTTCGATACTTCTTCGCTGATGATTTCAACGTCATCTGGTAAAATAGACATCTTTTTGACGCTCGTGCCCAATTGTGAGAATCTCTTGAGGGCAAATTGAGAATTCGTATCGACAACTCGTCCATTCAAAATTTCTTCTCCGATAATGATTAACCCAACAGTAACACGTTTGGATGACATCTTTCGTACAAAATGACTATACATAGTAAACAGACAGTTGGAAAACAGCCATTAACGCAAGGAAACAGAAAAAAGACTGACTTATTTCAACTTTCGAATTTGAAAGAAAAAAATGATGGCTAATTGAATTTCAAGAAGAATTTATGATGAACTTTTTTATATTATTACCCCATCTTGAGAAAACTGCATCAATACACTACAGAACAAAATTAAATTTACCACCTTACTCTCTAAAATGCCAATTTCAAGGACTTTTTTCAACACAGGCAAAGCGGAGCTTCGTATCACTTGCGATACCAATCAAGCGTAAAAAAACATTAAAAGTACAAAAAACCAGGTCTACTAAAATTTTCGTATGTCTCGATAAAATTTAAGTCTAGGTAAACATGCTAATCAAAATGTTTGAAAAATAAATTAGCAACGGAACAAAACTGAAAAAGCGGAAACAAAGCCGACAATTTTTGAGCAGACACCAGTTGAGCCGGAAAAAACAAAGATTTTAAAAAATTCCAGGTCCCCTAAAGACAGAATGAACAACACTTGCAACTATAATGATCATAGCCAAATGACGGTTGGAAAAGAGAAATGAACGCAAAAAAAAAACAAAAAGTGACTTGTGTTTTGAAAAAATGTGAAACTTCGAACTTCGAAGAAAAAAGAAAAAAATAGATGGCTTTAAACCTCTTTGAATTTTTAGAACAATTTATAATTAGCCCTTTTTTGATAAAGCTAACCCAATTTAAGCAAACTGGATCATTGATAAAAGTTTCATTCCGCTGGGAAATCTGATAATAAAATTCCATTTTCAAAATTAGAAGTCGATCACGTTTTTCGTGATTTTTACATTCTTTAGTGGTGTTTGACGTGCTTTTACCAAAGCAAACGAACTGAACTTAAAAAGAAAGGAAAAGTCAAGCCGCGTAAAAGTAAAATTTGAGCTTGAAGACATTTTTGAGCTTGAAGACCGTACCACCACACTACTCGACCCACATTTTCATGAAAATTACCTTCATTAATGAAACAAGCTATGAAATGATCAAGTGATTCTGTTAAACTAGTTGTTGACTAGAAAAAAGGGCTCTTTTCCAGTTACCACCTTTGATTTTTTCTAATTTTCATTGTACAAAAGTCGACTTATATCGATTTATCATGATAAAAATTGCATTACAACATGTCAGCGTGAACAAATCTTTACAACATTTCTTACTTGCAAAACGCCGTGTGAACAATTTTTCAATAATTTTATTTTGTAATTTTACGAGGGGGTTAGGAAACTGGAAAAGAGCCGAAAAAGGTCTATATTCCAATTCGATAACGCTTGCTTCTCGCAAGCGTTAAATATTTAATAAAATTTTACCAAAATGTTTACATGGAGCGATAGTTGACTTGAAGTACTTTCCGGGTCTGAAAATGCCAGTTTTCACCATTTGTATTAAATTTTGGGATTCAACACTTTGACGAATGAGCGAAGTAGGAAAATGTAATCTCGTGCGTTGTGAAACTTTTTAAAAGAGAAAATTGAGTTGTTCAGTGTGACGAATTTCCTCTATTTTGTTTTTTCTCGTAATTTCAAACTCTTGCTACAAATTTTTGCAACTCAGAAACACTGGTTTCTTCTTACCCGTAGTAAGCTGGGTTTTCAAATTTAAAAAATGAGATTTTTAGAATGAGTTGTTCAGATGATTTTCGCTGTAATAATTGTGGTAAAAAACTAATTAAATATGAAAAAAAAATTGTTCTTCAAATTAGGTATTTAAGAGAAAAAAAAGCCTGAACTTGCGTTTAATTTTGTCTAAAAGTGAAGGCAATTTTCCCAAAAACGGAATTTAAGCGCAAACAACTTTTAAGAATTTCCTGAAAACAAAAACCTTCAAGGCCTATCTATAAAAGAGTATTATGTACGTTCATGACTCTTTGAAAAGCAACAAAGGTTAAAAACAAATTCATCGTTAAATAGTTGAATATTACTTCCTAATACAAAACGAATAATTACCGGTGGTTAATAAGGCATATGCTGCGCACCCACGGTACTATCATCAGTGGTTCCTCATACTTGTTTGATCTGAAAACAACTCGTGAAACATAAAACCATCAATTGAGTTTTTCTTGCTCCGAATAGAGACCAAGAGTAGCGGCTCCAGTAAGCGCTCTGGAAGATCAGTTCAAAGTAGTAGACTACTGGACGGCTAGACTGCGGGACTACTGGACCCTTTGCAGTTAAGTGACACAGCAAGCCCAAAAATATCAAATATATTACCTAATTCTTGAATTATTCCCTCGGAATTAACTCGAGCGGAACTATTTCGAGTTGTTACTTTTTGAGCTCCTTGAATAAAAAACCTGATTTTATTTCATCTGAAAAGATGAGATAAGGTTGTCTTTGTTCCTGATAAAAAACAAAAAGACTGGTTCCTTGAAGCAGTGTGGAAGAACATAAGATTCCTGGACAACTCAACCAAATTAAATTTCTAGCGATCAGTCGGTTCATTTTCACAACCAAATTAAATTTCTAGCGATCAGTCGGTTCATTTTAATGTCTTATTTTTAATTTCGCTTTTAATCGCCAACATGTTTGACCTCGAAACTTTCCGAAATCTGAACGACGAATTGAAATACGAGCTGTATAAAGACTTAGTCGAAAATGTTACTTATTTTAAACGAATTATCGAAAACTTAACTGTATCAACGAAAGAGGAAGAAAGAGGAAACAAATTTTTTTATCTAGAAAATTTTAAAAACACGGGCAATTCGAAAATTACAGAAAACAAATTTGAAAACGAATGGAGCAAGATTGGAACTCGGAGCAGAAATCAGAACAAACGAAGCGAAAATAACCAAGAAAGCAAGAATAACCAAGAAATCAAAATACAAGCAACCAATATTCAAGAAGAAAAATTCGACCAGCAACGAAAACATTTATTTTTACCACGAGAAGGAGAATATTCTGGCCTATTACTGGGAGACTCAATTGTTAACAGAATCAATGGGGAACAAATATCGGAAAATGTGTTGGCGAGAGGATTTGGTGGGCACAAAATTTCTGCATTGCTGGAACGCGTGAGAAACAGTAAATCGCGACATTTTAAACATGTAACTACGCTAATTGGAATAAATGACTGCCTCTCAAGTGATTTCGACGCGAAGGAAGCCGTGAGTAGCTTAGAAAAACTAATTTATCTCATAAATCATAAATTCTCCCCAGAAACAATTTCACTATGTACTGTAACTCCCTTAGGCGCTTTTAGAAAAGATTTTAATCCAAATGTACAGAAGCTAAACAAGCAAATTCTTAATTTAGTACGGAATGTAAAAGACTTGGGCGAAGTAAAATTGGATATTTTAGACATAAACAAAATTTTTAGTCAAAATACAGATGCTCTTAGCTCGGATGGTTTGCATCCTTCTGATGGGGGTGTTGAAATTTTGGTGCAAAGTTTTAGAGATTCTTTTAGGGGTTCTGATATTAATGCAAACACATGTGAGATTACAACCCGCCCCAGAATGAAGCAAACCCAACAATCATCAAATTTAGATCCAAAAACGGCAGAAATGTTACAATTTTTCCAAAACGGTGCAAAATTTTTTAGGAAATACTAGTTTCGCATTTTTTCTTGGTGCAAACTTTGGCGATTATTTAATTTATTTAACCTATTATGCTGAATATTAAATTCTGGTTGTTTTGTGCAATTTTTCTAATTTCCAAGGCTCAGATGGAAACTAAAGAAAAAACTATTGTTTACTGGGGCTATCTAAGCTGCCAGCAAAAGATATTATCAACGAAATGTGGGATAAATGAGCGGAGAGCTACCACACTGACTCATCTTTTCCTTTTCGCGTTGTTACTGACCCAAAGTGGGGATGTTGAAAAAAACCCTGGTCCTATCGAAACCATTGAAACAGTCTACGGTATCTGCTCAAAAAATTGTGCAAATCTTAAATTTGTTCATTTGAATTTTCAAAGTATTATTAGAAAACGGATGCAATTGAAAAAATTTCTTGATGATATGGGCGAAAACACAATTATAGGAATTTCCGAAACGTGGCTTAAAAAAGAAGATAGTGACAATTTATGGAATTTCCAACCTAGAACGCATGCGATGTTCAGATATGATAGGCAATCATTGGTAAAAAAGAAAGGCGGTGGCGTTTTGTTATATATACCAGTCAAATTGGCTCCGAAATTGAGGCCTGATCTAAATTTATTTGATAAAGAAAAATATGAGTCAGTGTGGGTTGAGTGCAAATCTACATTTAACATTTCGAGTAAAGAAAAAATGTTAGTTAATTTGTGTTATAACCCAAGCAGATCAAACTTTATTGATTTTTTGGAACAATTAACGCTTAACATAGATAATGCTTTTTCAGTTTCTAATAAAATTACGCTTTTGGGTGATTATAACATAAATTATCTGGATAGCAAAGAAAAAGAAAATTTAGATTCTATAATTATTCCATATGGATTGAAGGTTTTTTGTCCAAACGATGAGACCAGAATTAGTTCCTCAACAAAAACTCATATCGACTACATAATCAGTGACTATGAAACAAACGGCATTGAGTTTTGTTTTGATACACCTTATAAAACCGACCATTTTGCTTCATTTATTTTGACGGATATAAAATGCGGCAAAATTTTACCGAGGATAATTACGACTTTCAATAAGAAAAATTATCAGAAAAATGAATTTTGCAATTCACTCTCCGCTCTTCCTTGGTATCTCTTATATCAATGTACAGACGCACAAAACATGTTCTCGACGATGATTTATTTAATTTCTTGTGCTCTACAGCAACATGCTCCTATCGAAAAAAAGTTTGTTCGTAATTTTAAACCAAAAAACGTGTTGAAAACGGAATGGTTCGATTCAGAATGTCAGCAATTGTTGACTAAGAAACAGAATTCACTCAGATCATATCGCAGTCAAAGCACAAGCGATAATTGGTCAAAAAACCAGTTTTTACGTAATCAAATGAGCAAATTGATTAGAAGTAAACAATTCGATCATTCAAAAAATTGTTTTTCACTTCTCAGCACTATCCAACAAAAATGGAAATATATTAACCAAGTTAGAGGTACATGTTCTGGCAACCATCGAATTACAGTTCTACGAAATTCCTTCAGTGAAATGATAACCCAAGACAAAAAAATTGCCAATCATTTAAATTATATTTTTTCAAACTTAGGCGAATTTTTCGGCGCTAAAAAGCCTCCGAATTACAACAAATCTGCCTCTGAATCTGCATCTTTTCATTTTCAACACATTACAGTGAAGCAATGCTTTGATATAGTTCGAAAAATCAATGTTGGAAAACCTCTCGGACCTTGTACCGTACCTGCTTGGGCAATCATTGACGGTCAATCAGTTATAGTTCCACATTTAACTTTTGTCATAAATACTTGCTTAGATGAGAACATTTTCCCGATCGAACTGAAAAAAGCAAACGTAACCCTTTTGTTCAAAAAAGATGACCCAATGGATGCAAAAAATTATCGGCCAATATCAATAACTTGTGCTTTTTCTAAAATTTTTGAAAAAATTTTACATGCCCAAATAACAGAACATCTTGACAAATTTCAAATAATGACACCATTTCAATTCGGATTTCGCAAAAACATTTCAACACAAGATGCTCTTGTTTATGTGACAGAAAGTATTCGAAATCAAATAGATTCAAAAAAAATCGTACATGCAGCTTTATTAGATCTGTCCAAGGCTTTTGATTCTATTTCGCATGAAGTTTTAATTGAAAAAATGCTTTCTCTCGGTTTTTCAAATGGAGCAAATGCTTTAATTGCTAGCTTCCTAAACAAACGTATTCAAAGAGTAAACGTCAATGGAATTTTTTCAGACTGGATTGAAATAAAACGAGGTGTCCCACAAGGAACGGTACTTGGTCCGTTGTTGTTCAATATTTATGTTAATGACATACAAGAGCGATTATATGAGGGTTGTACTTTAGTTCAATATGCTGACGACTGTATGGTTTTTTCCTCTTCTATAATTTCTGAGGATGCTTTGAATCGATTGCAAAAATCACTCAATAATCTAACGGAATTTTTTGCAGAGAACCAATTGAATCTGAATGCATCTAAATCGGAATTTATAACATTTTGTCAAAAAAATGATAGCAAAAATGTGGATACTGATAAACTAGTAATTAGTGGGCATTATGTAGCCAAAAAATCAGAATGCAAATATTTAGGCATAATTCTTGATTCAAGTTTATCTTTTCATGCTCAAATCAAAACAATTCTCCAAAAAATGGCCCAAGGGATTAAAACTATTGATACAATTGGACAACAACTGCCGACATTATCATTAGTTGCCTTGCTTCATTGTCTTGTTTTATCACATTTAGATTATTCAGCAATTTTTTTACAACAAATTAATGCTACTTTGATGCTATCTCTGGAGAAACAGTTGAACTGGGCGCTAAAAAGAACATATTTCAGATCGAATTTTAAATCTTCTTCCCTTCTTCGCATTAGCAAATCGTTCATTGGAATCGAGAAAAGAATTGAGTTAAAGTGTATAACATACTTATACCAATATCTTACAAACAAAAAGAAGGCTTTTGAAAAGACACTGAGACTACCGACTGCCAATTATAGGCTCAACGAAAGAACGAAACAAATTATTTTTGACAAACATTGTTCGACTGCTTCTCTACAAAAATCATTTTTTCATTTGACTTCTAAAAAATGGAATTCACTGCCCATAATTTTGCGCAATTTAGAAAAATCGAAAACAGAATTCAAGAAAAAATTGAAAGAATTTTACGTGAGTGAATTGAGAAACAATCCTATATGTACTAATACAAATACGTGGCGTGATTACCGTTTTTGCTAGTTCTATATTTTTTAATTCAGTTTAATTTTTCACACATTGCTTGAAAGAGAAACTGTATATACTCTGCATATACGTTGTATAATTGGACTATCTGTAAAATTGTTTGTAAAGTTTTATTACCAGCTTGTTCCTAATTCTTAAATCTTTAATTTTCTATAGTATCCGAAACTTCATATACTTTAATCAACCAATTTCCGAACTGTAACCGATTTT